GGGTTCAGTCCTTGCACTTCTGAGTTGAATTCAAACCCTTTAACTATAGGTAAAATAATGTAGGAGTCTCAGTTTAACTCCTAGTCCAGTCCCGTTCTCTCTTCTCCCTGGCATCCAAGAACAACGCAAAGTAATTCATGCAAAAATGTAACACTCCATACTTAATTGTCATGTCATATAAATACAACTTGTTTTTGTTTTCATTTTTTTTTTTAAAGATATGGAGTCTCACTATGTTGCTCAGGCTGTTTTCAAATTTCTGGGCTCAAGCAATCTTCCTGCCTTGGCCTCTGAAAGTGTTGGGATTACAGGTATGAGCCACTGAGCCCAGAATAAATAACACTTTTGAAAAGTGACCCTCCCAGATTTAGAAAAACCATTTGTCCAAGGAGAATTACTGAAGACTAGTTTTTTATGGCAATAATCACTTGGCTGGGCTCCTTTTCTCTTGCTTATTTGTTTTTTGGGTTGTTGGGTTTTTTTTCTTTTTTTTTGAGTTGGAGTCTCTGTTGCCCAGGCTGGGCTGGAGTGCAATGGCATGCTCACGGCCACCGCAGCCTCAACCTTCTGTGCTCAGGCAATCCTTCCACCTCAGCCTTCCAAGTGGCTGGAACCACAGGTATGCGCCACCACGCCTGGCTACTTTTTTTATTTATTGTAGAGACGAGGTTTTGCCAAGTTGCCCAGGTGGGTCTCAAACCCCTGGACTCATGCCATCCTCTTGCCTCCACCTCCCAAAGTGCTGGGATTACAGGCGTGAGCCACCATGCCCGGCACTCCCTCTGGATTTTACTGTGAATATTTAGAGGAGACTGAAGTAGATTATGGTTGTTCATAGATTTTATTGTGGTTCCTGTATCTTCTCCCCTCACTCAGAGAGTACCTCTCTGCCCCCTTAAGGTGAGGGAGGGTGGCCGGGGAGGTAGGGCAGCAGATGGTGATGTGCTCATGGCTGGATGCACCTCTTGAAAGAAAGAAGTTGCCCTGGGGACGCTGTGAGCCCAGAATGAGGACAGCCTGGAGCACACTTTCAATTTAAGGAAAAAAAAAAATATGTGTGTGTGTGTGTGTGTGTGTGTGTGTGTGTGTATTTAGTGTATTTATATGTGTGTGTGTGTGTTTGTGTGTATATATGTGTGTGTGTGTATATACACACATACACACACATACATACATGAATACATGACAGGGTCTTGCCCTGTCACCCTGGCTGGAGTGCAGTGGTGCAATCGTAGCTCACTGCAACTTCGACCTCCTGGACTCGAGCAATCCTCCTGCCTCAGCTCCTGAATAGCTGGGACATCTACCACACCCAGTTAATTTCTTTTTAGGAGACAAGTGTCTATCATACTCAATGATCTATTGCAGAAACGAAGAGCAGAGTACCATATGTTCTCACTCATAAGCAGACCCTGACCATTTACCATGATACTATAAGAAAGGGATTGGCAGTAGCGGGATACTGCCGGCGTGGGGGTGGGGACAGAACATCAATAAGGGTACCCGATCTCAAACCAGGGAAAGTGGGGACCAGAGGCGGGCCCAGACTTTACCTGTAGGACATCCACTTGTATGCCTAATCCTGAATTGTACACCACATCTTTAAAATAAAATAAACACAAATAAAAATAAAAAGAGACAAGGTCTCACTATGTTGTCCAGGCTGGGCTTAAACTTCTGGCTTTAAGCAATCCTCCTGCCTCAGCCTTTCAAATTGCTGTAATTACAGGCATGGCTCTGAAGCACATTTAAACCCAAACTATAGCTTAGATTCAGCTTCAGCTAAGCCTGGCCAAAGCTGCAGGGGCCTGGGAGATGGGCAGTCCTGTGAGCAAGAAATAAGAAGCCGGGCTCGGTGGCTCAGCCTGTAATCCCGCGCCTTTGGGAGGCCGAGGTGAGTGGATTGCCTAAGCCCGTGGGTTCGAGACCCGCCTGGGCAGTGAGACCTCATCTCTACAATAAATCAAAAAAAAAAAAAAAATTAGCCGGGTGTGGTAGTGCACACCTGTCATTCCAGCTACTTGGAAGGCTGAGGTGGAAGGATCACCGGAGCCCAGCAGGTCGAGGCTGTGGTGGCCGGGAGCAGACACCGCACTGCAGTCTGGGCGACAGAGTGAGACTCCAACTCAATAAATAAAGAAATAAAAGAAATAAGAGTTTGCTGCTGCAAGTTTTGAGAGCTGTTTGTTATCAAGCGTTATTAAAGCAAAACTTGACTAATACATGGATGAGCAGCCTTGAGCTCCTTCTTGTCACTGATCTCATATTTGTTGAGATTATTTTTTTCTTATGAAATAAACCATAGCAGACACACTAAACAGTTTTTTAGCACACTTCATCAATCCTATCACTTTCCGGAGGTAGCCACTATCAGGCAGTTAGTGTTTATAATACTCATGGCTGTCTTAAATGTTTACTGGACATTAAAAAAAAGTTTCCAATAGGCTGATTGCTAGCAAGGTAGCAGATAGAAAGTCTAGAGGAAAGTTTGTTATGGTCATGTCCACAGCAAATGAAAATTTGCCTTCTAAGAGCCTTGGTAAGGTCAGGTGTGGTGGCTCACACCTGTAATCCCAACACTTTGGGGGGCTGAGGCGAGAGGATTGCCTGAGCCACGGATTTGAGACCAGTCTGGGCAACTTGGCGGGACCTCATGTCCACAATAAATCAAAACAATTAGGTGAGTGTGGTGGCGCACGCCTGTGGTTCCAGCTACTTGGAAGGCTGAGGCAGAAGGATAGCCTGAACCCAGCAGGTCAAGGCTACAGCGGCCATGAGTGTGCCACTGCACTCCAGCCAGGGCGTCAGAGGGAGACTCCGACTCAGAAAAAAAAATCACTTGAATATGGACATACTTATGAAAACTTGCTAGATACATACGAAACACGATCTAGTATTGTTCTGTTCTTGTATGACTTTCTATAAATGACACCAAAGTATATGTGTCCTCTGCACTTCCCTAATCCCCCGCCCCCACCTAATACTGTTTCAGATTTATCCATGTTGCTACATTGGTTGCAGCCATCACCTCCTGCTGTAACACTGTCTGTATCTGCCACAATGTATCTTTTCTCCAGACATTTAAGTTGTTAGATATGAACAAGATTGCAAGGAACATTCTCCCACACGTCTCTGGGTACCTTGCTTTTCTTGAAGACCAGCTTCGCATCTTTTGTAATTCAAACACAAATGTAAGCTCCATACGAGCAGACACAAGGCACATGGTTGATGGAACTTTCACACATACAATCCGCAAGGTCATTGTAGCCAAGTTCAGAGGCACCAGCATCTCTTGCTGGGCCGGCCACCCAAGAGCCCACAGTGCCTGTGGCCTTGGGCACCTCTGATCTCTATCGCTGGCCTCCAGTTGTGGGGCCAGGGCCCTGAGACTTGCTGGAAACATCTGGATGACCTTTCCTCTGTCCCTTCTGCATCTGACTCACCATACAGTTCTTCCTACTTTATCTTTTAGATCGTTAAATGAGTTCAAGTGTCTGGTCAGGTTTGAAATGTTGGCAAGAGAGTTAGAAACGCAGGAAGGACTGAAGACTGTTAATCGGCCCCTTTCTTCCCCATGCAGCAATTTTTCTAACAGATGCAATTACATGTTGAGAGCTGTAGAGAACAGAATCTTATGCTCTATTTCTTTATTCATCATTTTACAAATGGGCTTCACTATAAGAAGGAAATTGCCTTTGTGGTTCAGTTCCTTCGGCTCTGAGCCTCAGTTTGAATGCCAGCTGCCGCCACCACCATCTTGTTTCTGGTGGGTGAGAACCAGCCAGGGAGCGAGGTGAAGAAGCCAGACCACGCGCACTTAAATTCAATATATTTTTATTCTTTGTAAATACAATGAGTACAACCTTTTAACTTCACAAATCAGTTAATTCACTTTGTACAAGAAAAGTTTTACTCGTCCTATGATAGTCCAAGTGCTGAATTTTTTTTTCTCCCTCAGGGCTAGTACCTAATAGATCAAAATGTGAAAAGTACAGCAGCTATTTAAAAATGTTTGTCTCTACATTTCCATAAGTATAGAGAGTCATACCAAAGGAGCAGCGTATGGTGTCGGATGGTGTGTGTGTGTGTGTGTGTGTGTGTGTGTGTGTGTGTGTGTGTATGTGTGTGTGTGTGTGTATGTGTGTGTGCATTCAAGGCTTTACTAGAAACCAGAGTTTTCTGAAAGGCATTGAAGAGTCTCAGGCTGTCAACAATGGATCAATCGAGAAACCTTTTAGCGCTCGTCTATGGAAGTTCCTTCTGGCATGGCGACTGTGGTCCTGTCCTGTCTGGTGTGACTCCCTGTGTCACTCCGTGGGGACCCTCGTTGCCTTTGGTTTCAGCACTACATTAATGGGACAGCAATCCACCTCCCTCCACCACGCATCTCCACCGTATTTGGTTTTGCTGTTTTAGTCACTCCCCCCCTCGACCTGTGTTCTTTTAGTAAAGCTCTTATATGTTTGAGATGTTATCCAGCCTGAAGTTCTGGCAAGAATCACATTTTTGTCCACCAATTCCTTTGACAAAGTTGCCTGGCCTATGGTATTTAAAAAAAGAAGAAGAAGAAGAAGAAGAAGAAGTAGAAGAAGAAGAAGAAAAAAGCAAGCACAAAAGAAGGAGAAATAACAAAGGAGACAAACAAAAACCAAATCACATGGCCTAAGCTACTTCTCACTTATCAACTCAGTTCTGAAGGCCACTTAATAAGGTATAACAAGTAAAGGGAAACTTTTGATAACACTTTTGATTTAAAACCTAACCATTATTTTTAAAATAAACGCTCCAACATAACATAGTTCTGAAGGCCGCGGTATGTTATACACAGAGCTATGTTTGGTTACCCCATTTTATATGCTAAAAAGGAAAGTGCTACTTGTGTTTCAGCTGTTGATATCAGTCAGCCCGCTTTTTCCAGGCAAGGGCAGAATGGCAAGGCCTGTGGCAACCCCGGTTCGCCCCTCCCAGGGCACGACGGCAGTGAGCATTCTGTGTGGGTGGTCCGTGGCAGCCTCTTTCCTGCCCGCCCACCCTGCCCTGGTGGGAGCAGTGGGTCCTAGCTACTGGGTGTCCTGTGGCAACTGCTTGTTCCTGAAGGCTACACCTTCCCAGGTTTCTGCTTCCTGAAGGGTGTGTTAGTTGAGGCTTGTTCTCCGTGGGTAGAAGTTCATCTGACACTGTCCCATCCCGAAAAGTGAGTATTTGGAGAGCTTAGATATCACTGGATTTGTACATATCTGAAAGCAGTCTTGTGATTGGCACGTTGCCAATGGTTTTTTTGAAAAACACTTCTTCTATGGTGGACGGGCTGATGGAACGTAAAGCTGGCAAAAGCAACAGGAGTTTTCCAAAACGACAGGGTTGCGTGGGGTATCTGGAACACAAGAAGTCATGAAAGCAGAGTTAGAGCACATGGCTAGTGGGATTAATATTTTATCGTTTTTTTTCTTTTTTGAGTTGGAGTCTCACTCTGTTGCCCAGGCTGGAGTGCAGGGGCATGGTCACAGCTACTGCAGGTTTGACCTACTTGCTGCTCAGGCCATCCTTCCGCCTTAGCCTTCCAGGTAGCTGGGACTATAGGCATGCATCACCATGCCTGGATAATTTTTTAAACTTATTGTAGAGCTGAGGTCTTGCCATTGTGCGCAGGCTGGTCTCAATCTCCTGGACTCAGGCAATCCTCTAGCCTCAGCCTCCCAAAGTGCTGGGATTACAGGAAGAAATACCACACCCAACTAAGATTTTATGCATAAACACACATCATCTCCAGGATCATTTCCTGATTGGGGCCTGTCAGAATAGCCTACTATCCTTGCATCAGAGTCCTAGACAGGCCCTGATGTCCCTGTTTTGCTGGCAGACTACTTGAGGCATGGAGGCTATAAATGATGCTGCCACAATCACATGGAAACTCTCTCTACATTGACAAAGGGGTGGCGTTTTGTTTGGAGAAAAAAACAATTTTTAAGAAATGAATATTCAGGAGACTGAGGTGGAAGGATTGTCTGAGCCCAGGGGGTCAAAGCCGTGTAAGCTGTGATCGTGCCACTACACTCTAACCTGGGTGACAGAGTGAGATTTAAAAAAATTTTTTTTCTGACTTGGAAAAAAAATAAAAACAAAAGAAACATGATACAAATGTTAAGTCCAATAATACATTTATAGTTGCCACTGTCAGACTGACATAGTATCGAAGAGAAGGCCAGCCATAGAATCCCTGTTGTTGAATTCTCAGGCCTCCTTCACAAGGCCAGTTCCCTCAAATAAAATGGCTTCTTTTTCTAAGCAATTCTCCCAATTATTATTCAGGCATTATACTTAGTCCCTCTCAGGAATAATTCCATCCAATTCCAATGCCACCCAACTCTCATGTCAATGAAATTGGCATATAATTAAAGATGTGAGAAATTGCTTAACAATTTCCTCTCTTGAAGTCCAACATACATCTGTGCTCAGATGGGCAAGTCCCATTTCCTGCTGCCTTAAAATGCCTGCGAGCCACCTCCGCCATGCAGTCCTGAGACTTCTTCAACCAATAGCTGAAATCAGGTATCAAGACACTTTGCAAGGAGGACTCCCCCCACTGCCACACACACACACACAAACCCCAAAACAAAACTGAGCTTCAAGGATGCATATCTGTGACTAAGCCAGGTTCAACCCAGGGGCTAGAAACCAACAGACAGCAAAACTCCTTCAAAGGAGTTGGTGGCTGCATTTAACTGCCTGATGACTCTGCCCTGCAGAGGTCAGGAGAGCAGCACTCATGCTTGACTTCGTTTGGAGCACACAAGAGACCCTCTCTTCACCTGACTACAAAACTTCTAATCCATCTGGCCTCTCAGGACCTCATTTGGCTCTTTCTCTGCCCAGTTTTATGACCACCCATGGACAGGGGCCATCTGACCACGTTTAATAACATGGTATGGAGCCAGGTGTGGTGGTTCATGCCTGTAATCCCAGCACTTAGAGAGGCCGAGGTAGAAGGATCACTTGAGGACAGGAGTTTGAGATCAGTTTAGGTGACATAGTGAGACCTCGTCTCTACAAAAAATAAAAAAATTTAGCTGGGCATAGTAGCACATGCCTGTAGTCCCAGCTATTTGGGAGGCTGAGGTGCAAGGATCACCTGAGTCCAGGAGGTTGAGGCCATGGTGAGCTGTGATTGTGCCTCTCCACTAGAACCTGGGTGACAGAGTAAGACAAGAACTAAAAAAAAAAAAAAAAAAAATTGTCCATTATATGTAGAGTCCTTTATGATCCATAAACAATAATAATTTGCATGTGTGTGTGTGTGTGTGTGTGTGTGTGTGTGTGTGAGAGAGAGAGAGAGAGAGAGAGAGAGAATGTGTCTGACTGATGAAAATTATTTTTCACAACAGCTATGTCCCTGACCATTCAGAGCATGAATAACAGGTTAAAAATTTCCTGTCAGGTTTAAGTGTTTTAGTCTGACACAGATCTAAGTATTTGGTCTTCAGTTATAACATATAGTTGGTAGACCAGGCGTGGTGGTTCACACTTATAATTCCAGCACTTTGAGAGGCCGAGGTGAGAGGACTGCCTGAGCCCATGGGTTCGATACCAGCCTGGGTAACTTGGTGAGACCTCATCTCTACAATAAATAAAAAAATTAGCCGGGTGTTGGTGGCATGCGCCTGTAGTTCCAGCTACTTGGAAAGTTGAGGCAAAAGGGTCATCTAAGCCCAGCAGGTTGAGGCTGCAGTGGCTGTGAGCATGCCAATGCACTCCAACCTGGATGGCAGAGTGAGACTCCAACTCAAAAAAACTAAAAAAACAAAACAAACCCCAAAAAACATACAGTTGGTGTGAAATTCCAATTCCTAGACTTCTCCTCATGTCCTAGATAATTAGAGAAATCACTTACAGAGCTATAACATACACGTAACTCAGTTTCAGTTTGCATGGTAACTTTCAATTTTAGATTTGATTTTTTCTAGACAGGATAGTGCTAGAGGAAAGTGTGTTCAATGATTTGAAGGGGATGAGAAATAAGGGATAGTCATTTTTGTCATATGTATGACTCTAGGTATAAATATTAAATTTTTTTTTTTTTAAGTGGAGTCTCACTCTGTTGCCCAGGCTAGAGTGCAGTGGCACACTCATGGCCACCCCAGCATTGACCTGCTGGGCTCCGACGATCCTTCTGCCTCAGGCTTCCAGGCAGTCGGAACTACAGGCGGTGCACCACCACATCTGGCTAATTTTTTATTTATTGTAAAGACGGGGTCTCACCAATTTGCCCGGGCTGGTCTCAAACCCACGGGTTCAAGCAGTCCACTCACCTCGAACTCCCAAAGTGCTGGGATTACAGGCTGAGCAACAAAGCCCAGCCTAAATATTAAATCTTAATTGTACCTGATATCATGAAATAAGAATTTCATGCCAAAGCAGATGTGTTCTTTCCAAAAAATATGCATATATTTTGTTTTGTGGATGAGGGAGATATAGTGTACTTGCCATTTCTCTCTCTCTCTCTTTATTTTTAATTTTTAAAATGGATCTCACTATGTTGCCCAGGCTTGTCTTGAACTCCTGGCCTCCAGCGATCCTCCTACCTCAGCCTTCTAAAGTGCTGGAATTACAGGCATGAGTCACTGCACCCAGCTGATTTAGTGTTCTTAATTCTTCAATGGCTCTAAATGTCAAAGTTCAGTTATGGCATGCAGGTTAGTTTTTAGCAAGGAAAAAGCACTCAAATTATGTACTGCTGTTTTATAATCTTGAACAAATACTAAGAGTCTACTCTATATGTTCTGTAATTCAGTGTAGATTTTAAATTTCAAATCATGGCCCTTTGATTTGGAAAAACATATATGCCAGGCATGGTAGCTCATGCCTATAATCCTAGCACTTTGGGAGGTGAGTGGTGAATTGCCTCTACAAACCAGGTGAGACCTGGTCTCTACAGTAAATAAAAAAATTAGCCGGGCATGGTAGTGCATGCCTGTCATTCCAGCTACTTGGAAAGCTGAAGTGGAAGGATCGCCTTAGCTCAGTAGGTCGAGACTGTGGTGGCCATGAGCGTGCCACTGCACTCCAGCCTGGGCAACAGAGTGACACTCCGACTCAAAAACAAAACAAAACAAAAACATGTGAGCTATCACTCAACACAGTTACAATGATATTCCATGGACATTCATTTGAATACTCATTTAGTATTCAAAAGAGGACTTGCGATGGAAATAAGGAGACCCTAACAGAAGTGGTATTACACGAATGGATAGGGTTAACTTGGGCTTTCCCTGATGCCTTAGGTGAGGGGAACATTAACAGCCTCTACTCATCTGATGTAGTTATTCCCCTCCACAGTGTCTGTGGCTGATGCTGAGATCTTAGAGTCAGGCTTTCATGGGCCAAGATCAGTCTAGATCAATCTAGAGAATGGACAAAAATAACAACTCTATTCTAACCTTGGATCTACCATGGTCCTAATTTAAAAAGCTAGAGAGGGGCTGGGCATGGTGGCTCAAACCTGTAATCCCAGCACTTTGGGAGACCGAGGTGAGAGGATTGCCTGAGACCTAGGGTTCGAGACCAGCCTGGGCAACTTGGCAAGAACTCGTCTCTACATATATCAAAAAATGGCATGTCCGTGGTTCTAGCTACTTGGAAGGCTGAGGTGGAAGAATTGTCTGAGTCCAGCAGATCGAGGCTGCAGTGGCCGTGAGCATGCCACTGCACTCTAGCCTGGGTGACAGAGTGAGACTCGGACTCAAAAAAAACCCCAAAAAACCCTAAAAAACAAAAAAGAAGAAGAAACTAGAGAGGTTCTCTTCCCTCTTCAGAAGCCTGGCTTTTTTCACTCAAAAATGGAGTTAGAAAATCTCTACCTCTTGGTGGGTTTGCCCAGTGCTGGGTCAGAATGAGTTTTGCTGGAGTCCCAGCGTCTAACTAAGAGTTTCTACAAATAGCAGAGAACAGTGGGCCCTGCTTGGCCAGAAGTGTCCTAGTGGTTGCTATGACTAAACTCGACAGACACCAGTCACCAAAGCCAAGCAACAGTTATGGTGGGAAAAGATGGCCTCTCTGGAAAGTTCTCTGGTCCTTCTCTTTGGAATTGACACCTGAAGAAAGGTGCCTGCCCTTTTTCAAGGATGATGTGACCCCTCTCTCATGTATCCAAACCAACACCTTGGCCTTCGTTTTGACTGTTTCTATACCCATTCACACAAATGTGTTCAACTATTTGACGAATCAGCTTGTTCAGCCAGGACACCTGTAATGCATCTGACAATGTTGGCACTTTGATCATCAAACTAGATTTGCTGCCCTCACCCACCCTTGAGAGGCAGGGAAGGACACAGATTCTAACTAAATTAACTGACTGGCAACAAGATAATTAGTCGCAGTGTTTGAACCAGCTTATTACTGCCTGCTCACACATTCACAATGGAGGCGATTTTCTCAAGTACACGTTCAAGGCAAACAAAGATCACCTGGTGTGGATGTAGCTGTTGAGCGTTAGCTGAGCCTCGTCTTGGAGAGCTGCGATGGCGGCAGCATTCCGGAAACTTCTCAGTTCAGAACCACTGTGTGTGGGAACTAGAAATGAAGACCAGGACACTGTGATAAGGCAGTGCAGAAAAAGCTGTGGGGACACACCTGTTTGGAAGCGGGTGCCAGGCCGTACATGCTGGTCCCCACAGCTACCAGAAATGGGGCCAACATACCAGCTCCTTGAAAAACATCACCACTTTTTGCAAAGGCCAGTCCAAACATTGATTGAGGTGGCTGAATTAGTGAGGTGGTGAAACTGGGGGAGGAGAGGAGACAGGGATCTGTCTGCTTACCAGCTTTGAAAGTGACGATGCATTTTAGACAGGCAAATTCGGTGGCATCTAACCGGAGTTGTCTAAACCGGGCCACCACCTCTTGCAAAGCCTGTATTTCAGATATGATCTTGTTCAGCTTCTGGGAATCTGTGTTGGCACCATTCATGCCTAGAATAAAAAGATGGGATAAATACTCTAATATGAAGGCATTTTCACGGTTTAATATTGATTTTTGACAAAATCCTGCATATCAATATCCATTCAATTGTCACTCTAAGATATCTGATTCTGTGTAAACTGGCTATATTGTATGAAAGTTAATATAAAATCTTCTCTTGGATGATAACAAACACAGTAATTTGCATTTAAATAACAATGCAAGCAGTCATGAATACAACAAAACAACATTATTTGCATTTAAATATAGATTTATAAATGACAGGTATACTCTATTGTTCAGCAGGAATTTGTTATTCTTTACATGTTGTTCTTTTTTCAGTAATGTATTTTTATGGTAATTTCTACAACAAAGTCATTAAATTGTGCAATTCTTACCAGATACAGCCAGTAGAGTGTTAGCATCAACCGGAATGCTCCATTGTGCTATTCCTAGAACAAACAGTTCTCTCCAAGCATCTTCCAAAAGCATCAGCTGTCATACAATAGATGTATAATATAATATAGTGTGTAATTTATAAATTTATCAACAATTTCAATATGTAAATTTCCATTATTTTAAAACTTGTTTTTAAAGCCTCTCTTGGTCAATTTTCTTCCCCCCAAATATTCTAGCTTTTCCTTATTTTCCTATATTTTCCTCTTTGTAAAGGTGCCTATAGATATACACATGCATTTGAGAGTCAGCCATTCCAATTCCCCAAAGTTTGCTTCCCTCAGAATAGACTGACCCCTCTTGTCCTTGTGTCCACCCATTCGTGACCACCTAGAAACTTCTCTGGAGACCCAGGGTTTGTGAAATGTCACCAGCCATTCGGCAGGTGGACGCCCCTCATATAGAATGCAGGAAGTATCAGGGTTGACTCCTGACTAAGCCTGTGGATCTGGAACCCCTCTTCCTGGAGGGTGGGGGCAGGGAGAGACAGAGAGAGAGAAAGAGAATGAGAGAATGAGAGAGACAGAATGAGAGAGAATGAGAGAGACAGAGAGAATAAGAGAGAAAAGCATGAGAGAGAGAGAGAGAGAGAGAGAGAGAGAGAGAGACAATGAGAGAAAGAGAGGAGAGATATCACTAATTCCCAAGAGGCAATGGGAAAATCAGGGTGTAATTATGTTAATCGGGTTTTGCTGAGTTTACCTCATCTCACTGCCTGATTTTTCTGAGACTCATAAGTGGACAGCAACAAGGTGCTTGTCATTTTTATTCTAATACAATGTGCTACTGAATATTTAAAATGAAAATCTGTCTCCTTTTCCAGATTAATATACCAGATTCCACTTCATTGCAGTGTGCTTGTTGTCGAAGGGTTTCTACCCAAGGGCTAAGTGGCAGACAGTAAGAAAATTTTGTTTGGATTAAAGAGTCTACAAATACTTGTTTTGAGGGAGGAAAAACAGCCAATTTACATACACATACACAGAAAGCAAATGGTTAAAGCTAACTAGTAAACCGTCAAAGATAGGACTTAACTACTTTGGAAAATATCTTTTTGCGTGTGACAAATCTCTCAAAAAACAATCAACGCTGAATCATTTATGTGACAGAATTTCTTTTTGGGAGCTAAGAGCTAAATCATGAAGGCTTATGATCAAAATTACAATTAGACCAAAACATTTAATTTTCAAAAAGCTTTATTTTTTAGTTTTACTGCTTTAAGTACAGGAAATAATTTTAAAGTGCAAGGTAGACAATATCTCATTCTGGCCGTATTTGAATGTTCAGGTCATGAAAAAAAGAGCATCTCATGCCAGAAGATTCAATGTTTTTAGCACACTTCCTGGTCGCTCTGTAGGAAATGCACTTGATATTAAGGGATGCCATTATGCTTTAATTAGGTATGAAATGAATTGAAGAAATAATTCCTTTGCTTTTGGAACTACTTATTTGCCTTTTGGGAAATCTGTCATTAATTTCCGTGAATTTCCTGCTAACAGCCCCTAGCTGTGAATACTTTATTTTCTTTCTTTCTCTTAAGGTTAGAAAAATGCTAGCAGGAGCCATTTCTGATATTTCCAACAACACTTGGGGGTTTTGACACGATGCAATTTTTAGCTGCACAAATTTTTCCCTACTCTGAATGTCATATACAACCACAGAATTATGCAAAATGCCTATTTGTTTACAAAATCTCGAAAAGTGCTTAAAGCATCCGAGGAACATCCCAACCTGAAGGAGGTGTAGGATGCACCCTTTGTGCCTACAAGCTGGTCAACCAAGGGCCAAAACTATAAGTATCACCAGAGAGGATAGAAAGAATATAAAGTAATGAAACTGATTTCCAAAATCCCACGAGGGAAGAATCTTCTCACCTTCTCTTTCCCTCAGTTCCATGTTCTTAAGAAAGCATTGTCTTATCAACAGTTTTAACAATCATTATGGTTTTAAAATTTGAGATTAAATTTGATGTTTCAATTTTTAAAAAGATAATGTTTTTCTATGTCTTTCCTTCCTTCCTTCTTTCTTTCTTTCTTTCTTTCTTTCTTTCTTTCTTTCTTTCTTTCTTTCTTTCTTTCTTTCTTTCTTTCTTTTGTTAGAGTCTCACTGTCGCCCAGGCTGGAGTGCAGTGGCACACTCACGGTCACCGCAACCTCGACCTGCTGGGCTCAGGCAGTCCTTCCACCTCTGCCTTCCAAGTAGCTGGAAACACAGGCACATGCCACCACACCCGGCCAATTTTTCCTGATTTATTGTAGAGATGAGTTCTCACCAAGTTGCCCAGGCTCAAATCCCTAGACTCAATTCTCTTGCCTCAGTCTGAGATTACAAGCATGAGGTGCGCTGAGATTACAAGCATTACCCACCGTGCTAGCATATGTGTGTTTTTCATAAACCAGATCTGGCATTCTTGAAATAACATAGTTACATTCTTATTAAGCATGATATGGGTAGATATTTTGAAAGAAGCTAATAAAACTAAAAAGCTTCCAGCCTAGCGTGAGCAATATAGCGAGACCTTGTTGCTACGAAAAATAAAAAATATTTAGCCTAGCATGGTGGTACAAGCCTGTCCTAGCTACTTGGGAAGCTGAGGCGGAAGGATCACCTGAGTCCAGAAGGTTGAAGCTGTGGCAAGCCATGATTATGCCACTACACTCCTGCCTGGGTGGTAGAATGAGCCCCCAACTCAATAAACAAACAAACAAACCCAGTTTCCTCATTGCTGTTAACAGCGGATGCCTGCCCTAGATCCAGGCAGGTGGGGTTTCCGCAAGGCTGAGTGCTGTTGCTTCTTGGTCAAAATCCCTCTCTCCCCAGACAGCAGTGCCCTGGTGGTCATACCTGGTCTTGCAAAGACAGCGTGGAGAAAGCTGGCACGCTCTTTGCCCACTTGATGCTCATAAACAGAAGCCTGGCTGCGGATTCACACACCGACTCGGTGGCCACTTCATAGACATACATTGGGGTCCCATTCACTTCGTGGGGGTACTGGGAGGGGAAGAAAGAAAGACACCTGGGAGTTAGGAACCACAGCATCATGAGAAGAGCCAAACTTTCCATTTCTAATTAAAACAGGCAAGGGGATGAAAAGGAACTTGGAGGTTCTGCTTGCACATGCAGTTGCATAAGTGGGTGAAAAGCAAACATCTGTATCAATAGACTTTGAGAGGTAATACTTGAGAGGGAAAGAAAGAAAGAAAGAAAGAAAAAGAAAGAAAGAAAGAAAGAAAAAGAAAGAAAGAAAAACATACATAGAAATACCATTCCCACTCTTTGGGGGTCTCTCCCTTACAGAGAAGCCTCTGACTTTTCTGTCCCCTGCAACACATGTACCTTGGGCTGAGTCAAGTGCCAGGCCTGGCTCTCAATTTAGACAAGAGCTGCCTGCATTGGTGTAAATAAAAATGCGAAAAAGTATAAATTAATAGGCATCCCAAACACAAATATGCATATGAGTATTTTTAGAAAGGATTAGTATATTATGGAAATATTTCAATTAGACATCTTAATCATTCATGGAGCATTCCCATTCATAACTGACAACATATTCATAACACTACTTTCCCGAGCTTATTATCCACATCAAGGGTAAGAAAGCAATATTAAATATTGCGCGTGTGCCTGTGCCCAGGTGTCTGGCTTCCCTGCAGCATGGGGTTGCAGCTGGCCCACCTCTGGGGGAGATCAGAGGCTCTTCTTGGCCTGAAATAGGGGCTTTGGGTAGTGTCAACTGGAGGCCTGCAGGGTAATCCCTGGGTGGGTCAGGCTGTCCGGGGTGATCAGGCTGTGGACCTGCTTGGGGGGCCCAATCCTTGCTGTGAATCCACCTGGCTCAGAAGTTAGGGGGACATGCGGCATGAACTCAGATTCCTGACTGTTCAACATGTGAGCTCTACATTTCTCTCTTGCATTAGAAATCCGTGGCTTTGCCCAAGATAACATATGCCAAGACTTGCAACTCTGAGGCCCAATATAGCCAGTTCTTTTCTTCTAAAAATAAACGTGGGTTCTTCTGGCCACCAGGAACCTCGAAGGCTGCCCTCTGGGTTTAGGCTCGGGCTCCACCCACCACCCACACCCCGTGGGTGTTTCCTAAGGTTTAGGTTCCCGGGTGTGCCCCAAGCTTGCTGAATTTCTGGGTGATGCGATGAAGTCCACATTTGCCGCCACTCAGATGGGGCAGGGGCGGGGGGGGGGGGGGGGAGGGGGAAGGGTGGCGCTCCCTGCAGAGACAGGTACCGCACCGGCAAGTCTCTGATCCCAACCACAGCTCAGAACTGGCCGTGTCCCTCCTCCTTCCCTCGAGGTGACTCTTTGGGTCCGGCAAGGCCACTGACCTTGGGCGTGGGCTGGGCCAAGCTCACGAGGGTTTGCCGCTCGGGGGTGGCGGACACCGCGGCCAGCTCCAGGCCGTGTGGCTCCAGCTGGGTGACGGCGGTGAAGAAGGCGGGCGCTGGCAGCGCCGCCGACGGGAAGTGTGCGGCCGCCCCGTTCTCCTCCTTGTGCCCGCGGAAGTAGAGGGCCACCTGCTTGCGGATGGTGGACGTCCGGGGCCCCCGCTCGTGCTGCACGGCTGCGGAGACAGACAGAGGGACACGCGCCCGCCATCAGAGGCCGCCGCCCTGGGCGCGCAGCCCTCCTCCGCCTCACGTCGCGGCGGGGCGCGCCAGACGGCCCAACAGGTGAAGGGAAGGAGGGGACGTGAGGGCAGACTGCTCGAGATCGTCTAGCCCCCATCCTGGATGGGCCAGGAGGCCGCAGGGCGAGGTGCCTCATGCCTGTCTTCCCAGCACTTTAGGAGGCCGAGGCAGGAGGATCGCTTGAGCCCAGGGGTTGGAGACCAGCCTGGGCAACATATCGAGACCTCCTCTCTACAAAATACACAAAAATTAGCCGGGCTTGGCGGTGCGTGCCCGTATTCCAGCTACTCGGGAGGCTGAGGCGGAAAGATCACCTGAGCTCAGGCGGTCGAGGCTGTGGTGAGCCGTGATGATGCCACTGCACTTCAGCCTGGGCAGCACAGTGAGACCCCAACTCAAAACAATATATATGTAAAATAAAAAGGATCCTGTGCCCGATGTGAATCGATAATGGCAGACTTTAACAAGACCAGGTGTGCTCTCTGTTCAAGACTACTTCCCACGGGGTGGGCGGTTGCAGGGAGATCCTCTGAGCCTCGGTAGCTGGGTGCCCTCACCCCCATCGAAGGAGAGAGAGAGAGAATGGCCCACACCAGGCACGATGCCTCTGTGCACCCAGAGTGACGTCCCTTATTCCCAGCCCCCGCCCCCATGGAAAGGGCTTTTGGCCTCCAAGGGCCCCAGGAGAAAAGAACGCGAGCCCCAAGGACCCGAGCCCCGAGAAAGCTGGGGAATGGGACGGGGGCAAGACTGTCTCCAGGATGCTGGAGGAAGGCAGGGGAGATGTGTCAATTACCACCAACAGTTTAAACAAACAAATTAATTCAGGGCAATCTTCCGCCCGCCAAGCTTGACAACTTGTCAATACACAAGTTCAACAGGTTGGACGCTCCCTCTGGCTTCCTGCGCTGGGGGAAGGCGCGGTGCTTCGTGGAGCTGCCGCTGGGCCCGCGGCCTGCCCTAGGCCCCACTCCGCCCTCCTGCCCGTCACCCCAGCCCTCGGCCCGGGCCAGGACAGCCTCACCAGGCTGCGATAGAGGACGCAGCTTGGACGGCGCTTTGCACCCAGGAAGCGCTCCACGTCCAGTTCCTGCCGCGCACATCGGGGCTCCCACAGACGTCACCCTGCCTCTCCAACTCTCCCTCCCTCCCTCCCTTCCTCCCCCTCTCTCTATATTAAGACGGGGTCTCACTATGTTGCCCAGGCTGGTCTCTAACTCCTGGGCTCAAGGAGTCAGCCAGCCATCCTCCCGCCTGGGCCTCCCAAAGTGCTGGGATTACAGGGTGAGCCACCGCGCCCGGTTTCTCTTCCACAGAGCCAGAGAAGGCCCTGGAAAAGCTGACATCGGCCCAGTGGCCGTGTTGATTTAGGCATCTCGGTGAATTTGCAAACAAGGGCTCCAGAGGCGGTGTCTCTGTCCTCTCATCTCCTGTACGCCTCAGACCTTCCAGCCTCCACAACCTCCTCCCGGGAAACTCTCCAGACTGCGAGGTTCTTTCTGGGGGAGGCTAACAGGCTTGGGGGTGGCCTCGAGGGAGAGACGCACGGAGAGGCTAAAACGGGAAGCAGGGAATGCGCCGCATCCCCAGCGGAGTGAGGGTCCGCAGACTGCCTTTCTTGGGGTGCCTGGGGGCGCCCGAGTCTGATGTGGCGTGGCCTGACCCTGGAGTGTTCGGCGGGGTCGCCGGTAGCCCCTGCTGAGACGGGAAGGATACGACTGAAAGCCCGAGGCCAATTCCCAGCCTCCGGAAGGAAGGCTGGGAGGTGATTAGCATGCGCGGGAGTGCCGTGGGTTTTCTGTACATATAATTTTCTTACTACCCAGCCAGCATTAGGAGGATAAAGAGATGCACTCATTACCGTCTTTGTTCATGTTGACTTCCAGACACTTCTTCAGCCGGCACGCCCTGCACTGGTTTCTGTGCGTCTTGTCCACCGGACAGCCCCCCTGGAACAGAGCGCAGGCGGTCAGCGGCCCCGAGGGCCATCAGGCTGGGGACCCGGAACCGGCCCGTGGGGCGAGGGGGGCCGCGTGGAGGCGGGTCCCCGCCCGACCGCGGACCCGGAGCTGGGGAGCCAGGCGGGAAAGGGGCTGGGACTTCCCCGGCTACGTCGACAGGGCCAGCCCCGACCCCCAAGTAAAGAGGAAAGGTCTCTCTCCAAGCAAACGGGGGTCAGCGCGCCCGGCCAGCCGGATCCCCAGGGCCGGGAGGCGCAGCTGCCAGGGGAACTCGCGCCAGTCGCCGAGTGGCGAGTGGGGGCGAGACTTTTCAGGACCGAAGACAGCGACCTGGCCCCGGAGAGGGAGGCCCCCGAGCTGTGCCGGAGCAGCTCTGCGGCAGGTCGAGATCCGCGCACGCCCCCCTCCCGCAGGCCACTCGGTGCCTGAGCCTGCCTCGTCTGTCGCCTCCTCGCTGAGCCCCTTTGCCTGTGACATGCACATCTCCCGTGTGTCTTCTCGCTTTTGCTTTTGTGCTTGATGCCATCCTTACCACCAGCATGTGGAGATCTGTCTTAAAGTCTAGCCTCAGCCCAGGTGTGCACAGCCATTCCTGGCGGGTGAGGCCCTTCAAAGGTGAGGGTGGGCAGGGGGCATCCCTAGGCTCGGGCCGAATCTAGAAGTGCCCACGATGTAAATGTGACCGGGTATGGTGTGACGGACTCCTGACAAAATGATGATGTGGCCTGGACTGTTAGCACGACGACTGAAAAAAGAGCCAAGTACTGCTTTAGAAATATTTATCTCAGAAAAATAAGCGTGTTACCTAATACAATTTTTTTGAGAAAAAAAGATTGGCCATTAAACGAGTAAATGTACAGATAAAGTTTCTTCGGCAGCTTATTCAGTGCTAGTGGTCATTACTGAGGGAACATACACATATATGTGTGTGTCATATTTGCATGAGTTTTGGTAGAAAGTATCTAAAACGTCTGGTGCTCTCCTGTATTTGTAGCAATTCCTAGTTATGTCTGTAGTTGAAAGAAAAGAAAAAATGTATTTTTATTTTGCTTCATAATCTCAACAGTTTATATACTCTGAAGTTGGAATAAGTGCAATATTTCTCTGAAATATTCCTCAGGAGAAAATTACTAGGCTGCAGTTTTATGAAATTACACCCCCCTACACACTTGAAATATATTGATTTATTTAAAATAAAGGTGAGATCGATGTTCCCAAGCATGTCTAAATGTCTTCATTACTGTTAATAATACATGGGAATATTACTTAGCTAATATTAGAAGAAAAGAGAAAAAAGAAATAAATTTTGCTTCCTCAGTGAATTCTTCATGGCATCTTCGCTGGTTGATGTAATAGTTCAACATAAAGAGGTTTAAACACTTATTATTCAATATAATCATATGTCTGGTCTCAAGTGGTACCCTTCCAGGATTCTGACAAACAGGCAAATGCAAAATGGAAGCCTTCATTCATTCTTAAGTGTCTTCAAATCAGATGAAATGTATATAAACCTTTGTGCCTGGGAGGAGGAATGCTCCACTCTGGGCATTTATTCTGTTTGCAAGGAGAGGACCCCCAGGCCTGGTGAGTCCGTTACCACTTCTTTACAACCATTTGGGCTGATACCAATGTCTGAACGGATAGATACCCTTTGAAAAGATCAAGCACAACATCCGAGATTTTGATTCCCCAATACTGTGCATTGTGTAAAAGACAATCTAAGCAGAAATCTACTCAAGTCTGACAACCCCCAGCAATGCCACAGTCCGTGAGCCCCTGGGATGCAGACCTGTGCATGCACAAGGTGATGTGTCCATAGGGTGAAGTTAGAAACGGATACAGGCCTCAGCACCCAGTTCAACAGGTAATAGGGCTAGAGACTTCAAAATAACTCACTCAAATGCAAATGTCTCTGTGTTTGTGATGGTAATCCAAATCTGTCAGAAACTGGTATGAGCAGACATGACTTCGGAAAAGGATGTCAAAATAATCCAGCAGCATCAGGCAATATCTGCATGTATATGTGTGTATCATATCTTTATTCATTAGTGAAAGTGCATTAGGATTTCATGGCCTATGACTCTTAACTACCGCCCCCTCAGGACTCTCCCCAGGAGCAAAGGTAGAGGAGGCCCCTGTCACTGAGGGTCTATGTGCAGGTGTGGGACCAGGAAGTTGATCTCCTAGGCTGAAATAAGCCTCTTACTGAGCTGGAAACTGAGTTGAGGGTTCTGCTCGCTCTTCCTGGAAGCTTTGGCTCTTGGAGACAGTTCTGCCTGCTCCAGACCAAAACAGCCAACAGGGCACATCTCAGCAGAGAAGAAGGGGGAGATATGGGAAGTCTGGGAGGATCCTGGCTTCACCTTCCTGTCAGACTTTCTCTTCTGCCTCATCCTGCCCTTTTCTGACAAGGCCCAGCTCAAGTCATGTGGGTGCTGGATCCTCTCTGCCCACTTCCAGAGCGGCTCTGCCTCTCCGGATTGAAATGGCACGGCCCCTCACGGGGCACTGGGTCTCCCTTGGAAGCGGCCAGCGCTCACTCTGGCTCTCAGCTAAAGGTGGCGGTGACCTTGACTCCGATGCCTGTGTGCTTTTCACTTTCGCCAGCCCAGGCAGTGGTCAGGGGACTGAGCTTGGTGGCTGCTGGGAGTGGGGGTGGGGTGGGTAGGCGAAATAACAGCTCTTTCTCCGGCTTGCTACTTGTGGTTCAGATTCTAAAGTTCCTTGGGTCCCTTGGGCTGGCTTGATAGCCATGGGGTGTGGGCCTTCCCCGGTGTCCAAATCTGTCAGAGGATTAAAGGGGAGAAGGGGGGAGGCGTTGGGATTTCAGACTTCCTCCTGCAAACTCATCTACGGTCTCTTACCTCTTCCCGCCTTTCGCGAGCCAAAGGGCCTCCCAGAGTGGAGGCAGGAAGGCGGGGAGACGAAGAGAGAGGTCAGGGCCGGGTCTCTCCTCAACAGCGTGGAATCTCAGGGGAAGCCTTGGCGTAAACAAAGACCGCGGAGGCAGCCGAGGGGGGCCGGGCAGGGCAGCCCCGGGCCGAGGTACCTGGTTTCCAGATTTGCAGACATACGTCCGATTCCTCCGGATACTCCGCTTGAAAAAACCCGAGCAGCCGTCGCAGGCGTAGACGCCGTAGTGCTTCCCCGAGCTGCGGTCGCCACACACTTTGCAGGGGATGTCGAGAATGCGGCCTGAGATGGCAGGGAAGACGGGCAGGGGGGAAGAGGCGAGAGGGAGAGGCGGGCGGAGGAGAGGGAGGAAAGGGGAGAGGGAGAGAGAAATGCTAAGTAATCTGACCTCTGAAGGGATTAGCACCGAGGCTGCGGTAAAAGCAAATAATGAAGTGATTTTATAGCCAAACTTTTTTTCCCTGAGCAAGTGTCAGTTTCCTACAATGAGCATTATTCATGCACCGCTACATGTATTTGGGTCTCCCCTAATCGCCGAGACCCATTTCGGAATAAAAGCTTACAGCAGGCCCGGGCGGCAGCGCTGCCGGCCGCTGCCTTCTGCTCGGCGCAAAGTTGGGCCGCCTCCCTCCTCCGGGCTCGGGTTTAGCAGGAAAAGTTGTCAGCGAGCGCGAAGGGAGACCAGCTCGAAATGCAAAAGGAAAGGGAGGAAAAACAAACACGGCTGGAACGGGGATGGCAGCTGGAAGGCAATCGACTCTTCTCTGAGCTCTGCCGGGCGCTGGTTATTATTAGGATGATTATTGTAATGCTAATACTCGGATTATTAATGATAATAAGGGTAGTGGTAATTGCCCAACTTTCGCTTTACCTATTTAAAAAAACGCTGGGCGAGTCGTTTTGGAGAAACTGCTTCTTTTTTTATTTGTATTTTTATTTTTGCAGAGATGAGGTCTCACTATGTTGCCCAGGTCGGTCTAGAACTCCTGGGCTCAGGCAATCGTCCCGTCTTGGCCTCCCAAAGTGCTGGGATTACAGGCGTGAGCCACCGCACCCAGCCAGAGATTATTTCTTTTAGGAAAAAAAATATATATTTTCCCTGCAAAATATCACTGCCATGGGTTCCCTGGTGGGTTAGCTTGGGACAGCCAGGTTCCCCTTAGGGTCCCCCAAGTCCTTTCCCCTAAAACACCGGCCTCCTCACACTCAGTCCTGTGCAGGGCTCTTTCTCCAGGTTTTTTCTGCCGCTGTCAGAGGTTGATATACATATATATATATTTAAAGGATCTCTTATTTCTCTGGGCTCTCTCCAGATCCCATCCTGGACCCCCAGCTCCAGAGAATGTTCCCTGGAATCCTTTCAAGGGGAGGGAGGCATGGACCTTGGAGGAGCGTAGGGTCCTATGTAGACATTCAGCAAGGGAGGAATTATTTTTCCCTAAGGGTTAAAAATCCAACAAATGCCTGGAGCGGTTTGTAGGGACTTAGAAATGCCTCCTCCCGCAAAACAAAGGGAGGAGTAAAGTGTTAGCTTAACGAACACTTTAATTTTTAAAAATAATAATAGGTAATCACCATTGACTTGGGAACACTTGATTTTTCTCATGGCCACCCATCCGAAGGCCTCCAGTTTGCGCCGGAGCGGCCTCAGGTCTCGTTGAAACTCGACAACTGCTCTCAGGAGAGCTTAGGTTGGGGACTGCGGTTAAGGTGGGGCGGGCAGAGGCAGGAGCAGGACCCCCCGGGTGAGGGGACTAGGGGAGGTGAGGGCGTGGCCTGGGGCGGGGAGGCTCCGAGGTGGAGGCATCCTGGATTCCGTGGCGTCGGGGCGGCTCGCACCCGGGCCCCAGGTTGGGGGGATGCAGGGCGCGGGGGACCGTGTGGGGAGTGTGGGGTGGGGGGTGTTCGGTAACGACCAGGCTTGGCCGGGGTAATTACAACTCGCCGCAGCACCTGCCTATAGAGCCACCAGTGACCCGTCAAAAAGAGTAGCATGGGAATTCGGACGGCGACAAAGGCCGGCGGGGAGGCGCGCGGCGCGGCGGCCACCGACTCGGCGCCCCCTCTCCCGCAGAGCGGGCGGGCGGGAGGGGCTGAGGGAGCCAGGCGAGGCCGCGGTGGGTCTTGTCCTCCATCCCCTGGGGCCTGTCACTGCACCCAACTCCGGGAGCCAGATGCCAGCTCTGCGCAGGACACTCGCGCCGAGAGCAGTCAACCTGGTTTCCAGATTTTTGCAAACGTCCTGTTCTGTATCACACACGCCCTCCGGCCGCAGCCCGGCCATGTTCGGGGCCCAGCAGTACTGTCGCCCCAGCTGTCCTCCACCCCGTGGTACTGTGGGCAACGCCAGGATGGGCGCGTGGAGAAGCAGTGGTCTCTCGCCCCCACTTTCCATCGAACAGGAGACCCAGAACGCGCGTCTCTGGAGACCCTCGACGGGGGTGGAGTGGGGAGCACCAGTGCTGGTGGGTGACACTTCTGACTCTCCGGGCCGGGCTCCCAGAGGGTCGCCCCCTCGGCCGCCAGCACCGCGGGTCGGCCCTGCCCCCGCGCAGACCGTCGAGCCGCGGCTCCTGGGCCGATTGGAGACGGGCCGCCGGGCAGGGGCGGGCGCAGGGGGCAGCGACGCGGACATTCCGAGGCAGAGCGGGTGCGCCCGCAGACTCCGCCACCCAGCCACGTTAAGGTGACTTGGGGTCACCAGACAAGCTGGTTGACCCCGTTGCAAAGCTCCCCTCATTTAGCAAGCCGAGCGAGCTCCGACGTGAGGCGAGCGGAGTTTCCAGAGCCTGGAAAACCGTTCTTAACTTCCCTCGCCAGGGGGTCCCCTCGGGGCTTTTTGTGTGTCATAATTGCCTAAAGATATATGGCAGCTTCGATTACTGTAATTACCATCAGAGGCTGTTGAAAGAAGTTAGTCTGGGCTGTAGGGGTGACTGGCCAGGGTCTCGTTACCACCCAGGCGGGGCTCCGGGTGACAAGGCTCTGCTCTCCAGCCGCGCCAAGCCGGGCCCGGCGGGGGCTGCAGACCTCGCGGCCCGACCCGGTCCTGACCCGGCCCGCGGCGCGCCGACCTCCTCGCC